TTTATTAAGGAACATGGGCTTACTCACTTTTATCCTTTCCCCTCTGCTCCCCCGGCTCCATGTCCTTCTAAAAAAAGAGAGAATAGAGAATATTATTAGACAATCCGATAATATTTGGAAATCAAGTTGAGTAGGTTGGTTTGGTAAAGAAGTCCATTGAGCTTCCATAAGGTTTCCTCTGGGAGAATCAAGTTTGAAGCTTCCTGCGGAATTCTGTCTGGATTGGCTTAGGACCACCCAGACGTGCTTAATAGGGAAGCGCTGTCCGTGGTACTAGCAATCGCGCATACCCCTGGCAACACGTCCCCCGCCAAAGTTCTTTGCCAGTCGACTTGCTTCGCGAAGCTCACATATTTGCCTAGCGGAAGATTTTCAGTCATTCTGCTCCTTGGCTTTTTCCCTACCTTACCACTCTTTATCTATGTCCCCTTCAACAAAAAGCAATTCTCTTCCATCTCCTTATCAACTTCAAATAGTTACTGTTTTCAACCACTTTGGCCATGCCTGCCACTTAAGAAGGTGGCTCAAAAATTAGTTCGGGTTATCTTTTCCTGCACTTTTTGTTGTTTCAGAGAAATCCAAGGCACAAAGCGTGAACACAGGAAACAGTTAATTTCTGATGCATTCTTTGAAGACTCTCTTTAGCTGAAAACACCTCTAAGAAACTTCCCCTGCCTCTCCATCTTGAGGTAGGTTTCCCTCTTCCTTACTCCCAAAGCACCCTATAGATACATTTCTCAGTAAAGTTATCACATTAAATTGAAGCCCTCTACTTGTTATTTTTGACTGTCACTAAGGAGAGTTTCTTAAAATCTAAGACCCTTATCATTTTTTTTTACACTAGCCAGCTTGTACTAACTCCACTCTTCTATAGCCTGCCATGTCTACCCATGCATATGAAGCATGCAGTTTCAGAAAACTAGGCCAGCGAGGTTCATTTTGTTTCAGAAAAATTCACGACATTAGCTTTCATGCTCAACCAGGTTTGGAATTCGAACAGTCATTTTTTTTTAAAGATTTTATTTTTTTCCTTTTTCTCCCCAAAGCCCCCCGGTACATAGTTTTATATTTTTTGTTGTGGGTCCTTCTAGTTGTGGCATGTGGGATGCCACCTCAGCGTGGTCTGATGAGCAGTTCCATGTCCGCGCCCAGGATTCGAACCGACGAAACACTGGGCCGCCTGCAGCAGAGGGCGCAAACTTAACCACTCGGCCACAGGGCCAGCCCCCGAAGAGTCATATTTTTTATGCAGTCATAAAAGTATCCATTTAGAATGGAGTTAAAGTTGCATACTTATATCATAGTAGTAGTATATTCAAGCACTATTGTCATCTCTGCATCTACCTTTTCAATAAAGGAAATCTGCAAGTAATCTGTTGTTCTACACCGAGTTCTTGAGTACCTTGATACTCATCTTTAGTAGCCTTTCCTTCAATTCCTCAATCCTAATGCTTCTCCAGTTCCTTGTCATAATACAGAACTCTAAGGAGAATAGCCTCTATCCTGAACTCATTTTGATTTGGAACCCCAAAACTTTGCCTAGATTTCCTCTGCTTTTCTTTTCATGAATTGAGGTTCTATTTCACCCTAGATGGTCCTCTAGAACCCAGACATTTCTACCTCTCTGACTCTTGCCAGATATACCTTCTGTCAATCCCACTACACCAGTAACAATCCCTGGCAATTGATGTTAATCCATAACAGAACATATTAAGGCACTCTGCTTTCTCTGTAAGAATGGGGCACCTTTTCCAGAATGTGTTCTACACCCTAAACTACCAAGCAGTATATAGTGGTATGTCCTCAATTGGAAGAATATGTGAGTCTGAGAATTAAAGTATAGAAGCAGAAGTGGTTATATTTATCATATTTTCTAACCCATGTGAAGATTTTCCACCCTTACAATTTTAATATCTGTGGGCCTGGAAATTCTAGTTCATATAGAGAGAGCAATTTCACTGTGGGACATTGTAAGAGTCCCATTTAAGCTCTAGATGCTCCCCAGTCACTTCAGGCTCTTCATGTTAAGAGATCAGTTAGTAACTAAAGGAGTCATCTTTTCTAAAGGGAGGAATTGAGCATGTTCATCAGGAGAAGGGAGGGCTTTTGAATCTAAGAAGGGAAAAATGTATTGATATCCAGATAATCCATTGGAATATCTCTTGATATTTCTCTGCCCAATCATGATAGTAAAAGTGACATCAGCCATGGTCTGAGGAGAGCATGATGACCAGCTCACAACTCTTAGGAATGGGGGTCTATTTCACTTAGCAAGTTAAACATACAGACCACTAGATGTGCTAAGAATGAAGGAATCAAGAATGGGTGGTTGAAGAGGGAGACAATGAGTATTGGTAGTGGCCTTGCAACCAGCTGTAGCAGCAGGGGTTGTAGTTTGCTCCACTAGCCTTCATAAGTATTCAGACTTGCTCCAGCAGTGAACTAGACTTCAAACATGAGGATAAACCAAAGGAGAAATTATAGAGCTGAGAAAGAGGAGGTAGTTGTTATGATAAAACTGGGAAATGCATTTCTTTTTTTAAAAAAAATTTATTTAAACTAAACGAAGAAAACAATTGATCCATTTCTCTCACTCCCTACCTTCTTTCCCCATTGTATATTCTTGGGTCTTTCGTCATAAATTAATTGAACTTATGCACGAGTTTATTTCTGCATTCTTGATTCTGTTCCATTGATCTATGTGCCAGTACCATACCATTTTAATTACCATAGTTTTGTAATATAATTTGAAATCACGAAATGTGATGCCTCCAGCTTTGTTCTTTTCTCTTAAGTTTGCTTTGGCTATTTGAGGTTTTCTGTAGTTCCACACAAATTTTAGAATTATCTGTTCTATTTCTTTGAAAAATGCCATTGGAATGTTGATAGAGATTGCATTGAATCTGAGACTATTTGTTAGTTTTGAGTGCCATTAGGGAGATTTTCTTAAAATCTAGAACCTATATCTTATTTAATTGAGGACTTCTGGAACGTAGGACATGCTGAATTAAGTTTTATTGACCTAAATTTAACTATTGGATCCATTTAAGGAAGGTCCCTACAAGACTCTTGTAAAAGGCAACCTGCCTTGCTACATTTTGCTGGGCACTAAATTTCAGAGTAACTAAGGCATTCTGATGAACATATTCTGGACTGAGCCCACCTGCCACCACAACCACCAGTGATCAGTCTAGTGACGCAGCCTCTCAAGATGACTGGCAAAGAACCAATGCCACTCATTTCAAAGACTCTGACTTCCCACTGTCTGTCTTTCGTCTTTCTTCCCCCATTCTACCTACATACTTATAATCTCCAATACACTGTGCATGGGGACTAGCCCCAAAGACTAGACAAAAACAGCTCATCCATGCTTTTCACCCAGAAGTGGATTTCTATTCCTCTGGCCAGACCATGGAATGGAGCTGCCATCAACAAATAAAAGGACCATTTTTTCCCCAGATAAGAGCAGAGGTTCAAATAAAAGTGAAAGGTAGAGAAATTAAGAAACTGAAAACAAAGAGATGGGGTGGGGTGAGAGAGAGAGAAAAGACTGTTATGAACGCAGCCTCCTTTCCTTCCCCATCCAGGTGGATTTCAACTCTGCTGAGGCTCAGTCAGTAGATCTTCAGCCCTAACCATCACTTCTATGGGCCCCCTGTCTTTAAAAGCTCTTTCTCATTCTACAGTAGACTAGGGCGAGGGAGTCAAAGCTAAGATATACTAGAAGAAACTTGTAGAGTCGCTTTTGTAACTAAGCAAGCAATTTCTGTCCCTTTAAGACTATCTTCTTCAGCACTCTGAACCAAAAATGATGTTGTAAACAGGAGCTGTGCAGTGTTAAGACAGGCCCACTCTCATGTAATTCCTCACAAAAGTTTTCAGGCAACAGATACATAACTTGTGGTTCTCTTCCTATTTCAACTGAGCATCAGCTGTAATTTTTTAATTCTTTAAAGCCATGCTTATGTTAAGTCAAACTGACCTAGTAAGATTAGGAAGAAAAGAAAAGCACTTGGCCTTTAAATCTTCAGAAGAGGATTTAATGACAGGTTCAACCTGTTTAATGACAGGCCCAGCACCACACCCCAGTTTTATTATGTTTCATTATTGCTGCATAAATTTCCTTTATTACTCATGGTAGATAAAAGTCAAATACTTGCTGAGGTGGGTTTAAATAGGTAAGAGTGCAAACAAAAATTTACTGTTCAAACATCATGAAACTGGGGTCTCAGATTCTCAAAATTCACATTTAGATTTTTTAAGGGTCTTACGTGTACCAGGTTGCCACTCAATCTCCAACTAGTATTTTTGGTCTTGTTTTTTGTTTTAGGATTGTATCCATAATTCAAAGATGAAAAGAATAAAAAGCACATTCAAAACAGCAACCTCAGGATTTTTCACCGCGACTGATTTTTGGCTGATTCAACAGGAGGGCACACCCAAAAGAAAATTGCTAAGGGTGATGCAAGACGTGAAGCTAGTGAAGTTCAAGGACTGCCCTGGGATGAATTTAACCTGTATGACAGGTGCAGAGCTGTCACTTTCAGACATCTTAAGAGAGAGATGGAGTTATTTTCAACGCCTTTCTCTCAGCCATTCGATTACAGACGGGACGCCTAACGTCTCCAGAGTGAAACCAGCTGGCCCGGGGCTGAAGGAAAAGAAATCCTCTGCTCCGCCTGCTGGAGGGAGGGGATTAGGTGCTGAGCGCCTTGATTCGACATTTCCAAAAGCTTAGCCAAGGCCTTGCTGGACGCCAGGAGCAGCGCTGCCGGCTCAGCGCGCCTGCTTCTGGCGCATGCGCCCCAGGCCGCCTGGGCTGGCTCCCCCCCCGCCCCTATCCTCGTGGGCTGTGACGTAGTCTGTGGGCCCGGCCTTCTCGCCAGTGGGTGGGAGGAGCCCGCGCCCGCCGGCCGGCCAGGGGCGGAGCCTAAGGGGGTGGGGAGAGACGGGCCCCGCCGCCCAGCTGGAAACGGATTCCTTCCCAGCCGGCTCCCCACTCCGCGCGAGCGTAGCTGGGCAGTGAGGCCGCTGCGACGCACCCGCATTCTGCGGTCGGAGCCGCTGCGCGCTCGGCTGCGGCCGCGCGAGGCGCCTTTGCCTGGGAGCGAGCCGGGAAAAGCCCGGCCAACCCACGGGCCGCTCGGCCTCTGCCCGGGCCCCCCGGCCCCTGCCCGGGCCCCCAAGCGCCGAAGGACGGCGAACGGGGACTGAGGCTGAGCTGAGCTCTCCCGGGGAGGGGCGAGCGCGCCAGGGCGAGGTGGGGAGGGAGGGAAGCGTCGCGAAGCTCACGTCCAGCGGTGGATTATCCGGGCCAGTTTGCGTCTTGGGGCTGCGAAATGCGCGAGGAGGACAAGGGCATGCTCGGTGGTGGCGGCGGCGATGCGGGCCTGGCCACTGCCGCGGCGCGGGGGCAAGTGGAGACGGTGCGGCAGCTCCTGGAAGCCGGTGCGGATCCCAACGGAGTCAACGGCTTCGGGAGGCGCCCGATCCAGGTAGCTGGGGCCCCGGGGCCTCGCCGGCAGGGGGCGCACGAACGCGGGGGCGCGGCCTCCGTGGGCCGCGGCTGGAACCTAGATCTCCACCGACCTAGACTGCGTCCCCCTTGCTGGAGATGTGAAGCCCAGGTGAAAAGCAGCTTTTCACCCACCAAAAGTCCTAAAGGGATTGAAAAACCGAGTACTTCAGTTTAGTTTTCTTTTTAATGGTGGAAAAAATATCAATATTCCCTCTCCCGTCTCACGATCAGAGATGCAAGGGATAGATTCATTTGGGGAGGAAAGGGGAAAAGAAGTTATTTGGGAAGGACTGTTTTGTCCGTCTTTCAACAAACAGCGATCAACTTTCAACGGCAGAGATAATTAAATTACAAATTATACAGTCTGGATTGGATTTAAGGAATCGTACAAAATCATAGCACTTGAAAAATTTACGGTGACCTTTTAAGCTGCAATATGAAATTCTTTGTATTCTTTCCTCATAGAGACGAATTAAATACAAAGGAATAAGGCAGAATTCATTAACCACAGTGCTTAATTCCTTTTTTTGTTAGCAGTGTCTCTTCTGTGTTACATAAGAAAAAATATGCTTCTGTAGATTTTTATTTAATTATACTGAATGCTTGGATTACAAGAGCATTTCTGCAGCAACTGTTAGGTCCTTTTTAAATGGCAAGGGGTCGTCAGAAATAATTGGCCTCTTCATTGCTAAAATCCATTATTCAATTGGTTTAACTATTAATCCTGCTTTGATTAGTACTAATATATTTTTTTAAATCCTTTAAAATCTAAAATAATGTTTTGTGCTTTACTGTTGACTATTATGGTCATATTTATTATTCATCTCACTGTCACCTTCCAGAACCAAGCTATTGTTAAGGAAACCTGTTAATCGTGTAAATTTTAGAGAAAATATGTTCATTCCTTTTGACTTCTTAGAAAGTGTTATAAGAAATGAGGGATAGTTTAAAGCAGCAAAAATATTGTAAAGTAGTTCTTAAAGACCTCAAATTATATTAATAGTTGTAAAAAGAGGTTTTATTTATAGTTTTAACTTGCCATTTTTTGAGATATTAAGAACCACTTTTTTCCCCTCTTCTCTGTATGTAAAAATACCCTTTATATCACTACTAGAAATATTTCATGCTTTTTAAGGGAGGAAATGGATGTTTTTAATATTCATGAAACAAAAAAGTGTACTTTCAATTACATGGTACATTTTAAAACATATAGACTCACAAAAACAAATGCTCCATTTTGGATACTTAGTTATCAAAAACTGTTTTATTGTTAAAATAAGAAAGTAAATGCTTGCATAATGTACATTTACACAAATGGATACTATAAGATTACTGCATTGCTAAGTTATGCATTGCTCTGATTGGACTGCTAACATCCAAGCTCTTTTTTATATAGTAAAATATTTACTATTTAAGATTATAAAATCCTAGCACATTATAAAATCCTGTACAATGTAAATATAGTCTTTATTTTACGTTAGATTAAATATATTATCTTCTAAGCTTTAGCCCTTATTTACATTAACTTAAAATGTTAAAAATGGTAAACCATTCATTAAAAACAATTTGTTTTCATCATTTTATAAGACTGCATAACTTTATTTACTTTTTCCCCTCTATCTCCAATTTTGGCTCAAATTGTGGACTAGATTCCATTTATGAGCACAGACATATTTAACAGTGAAAAGTAAAGTCTTCCACAGGAGATTTACTACGAGGACTAAACAAAGTCAACCTTATTTTAAACTTAGTTGTTTCTTATTTTCTCCCCTAAAGCATTGCTTTAACTTGTAAAAAATATATATCAACTGACTGCTTAATAAATATTTTTAAACCCAGATTATGGCTGGGGTAGGGGGAGAGGAAGGGAAATAATTTAAGACTTCAACAGCTTTTAAACTTAACTCTGCCATAAATCATTTAACAAAATAGATTCCCATGTTCTGGTGGAAATCAAAAAGAATTTTTTTCCCCACAACGACGATAAGCACTTTTATCATCAGCTCTTTCTTGTCTAGCACGTTTGAAAAAAGAAAATGGTACTCAGTGCTGAGTACAGAGAGTAACTGGCTGGGGGGAGGGGGGGGAGTATTGCAAACAGAGCATAACTGAACTCGAGGCTGGGAAGCGCCTCGGCAAGAGGTGGAAGCTTCCTGAATAGGAGTTTCTTTGAAATGGCTCTACCTGTCCCTGCCCAGGCCTGCATCTCGAGGCCTGCACCCTCGTCCTCACCGCTCTCCTCTCCCCCGCAGGTCATGATGATGGGCAGCGTCCACGTGGCCGAGCTGCTACTGCTCCACGGCGCCGACCCCAACCGCGCGGACCCCGACACCCTCACCCGACCCGTGCACGACGCGGCCCGGGAGGGCTTCCTGGACACGCTGGTGGCGCTGCACCGGGCCGGGGCGCGGCTGGACGTGCGCGACGCCTGGGGCCGCCTGCCCGTGGACTTGGCTGAGGAGCGGGGCCACCGCGAGATTGCCCGCTATCTGCGCGCGGCCGCGGGAGACTGATGGCGGGGACACCCAGCCGCCCACAAGGACCCTTCCTTTTCTTCCCCAGATCCCCACCCCAACTTAGTTCAGTGAAGGCTGCAAACGTGGAGCGGCAGAAGCCTGACAGCCTTCCAGGACGACTCACTCCCCGCGGGGAAGGAGGGGCAGACCGGGAATAAGTTGTTTGGGGTTTTTTTCTTTTTTCTTTTTTTGTTCTGGATCCCGCTGTCGACACTCACCGTGAAGCCAAACGCAGAGAGGTGAGGCAAATGGATTTCCAGCGAGATTTCGGAGAGGAATCTGAAGTTCCCAGGTGTCGTTTACTTTTCAGGGTTTTTCGGCAAAAAGCGGCATCGGAAGAGATCCTCGAACGACCCCGGGTACCTGCGGATCTTCCCAGGCAAGACGCTGGGGACCGAGTGGGAGGAGGCGGTGATTGGCGTTCGGGTGGGAGGCTGGTGATGCGTTCGCCCCAGTGACCTTGAAGGAGCTCCGGTAAGACCCCACTTCCGGCGTTAGGCTCTGAAGGCTACGAGAACAAAGCTGAAGACGGAGGACCGGAGGACGCGGTGGATGCGGGCGTCAGGAGGCGCCCGACGCTTTACACGCCGTGCCGTGCTGCAAGTCACGTGCACAACCATACTTACTGGAAGCCCTAAGAGTCATACCCAGCTCCACGGGATAGTGACGGGGAAGAGAGCATGCGGAAGCCGCCACGAATTTGCACGCATGTTTTAAAATGCCCGGATCAAGACGGTGCAGGACAGCTCTCAGAAAGGGGCTGGCGCTTGCTGTGTGTCATTCAGTCGAGGCGAGATTCGTGCGGCGTTTCTGCTATCAACGCGCGGAATGAAGTGGTGGATTGTAGCGAGAGCAGCTGTAGCCGTTAACGGTAACGATTTGCTTCATCTCTATACGATAGGATACAGAAACCCCCCTGTGAATTGCCGCTTGAAAAGATTGCCTGATATTTTGTACTTCTAAGTTGTTCTTCAGTAACAGTCTTACTTAATGGGGAGACTTTAAATAACAAAGTAACTCATGGCCCGTGGTAAAGAGGTGAGGAACACCTACAGCTCTTAAATGAAGCTATGGGATAGTGGCAACGACTAGATTACTTGCATCCTTAACCTATTTATTTCTTTGTTAAATTTTCTGTTTCCTTTACTAGAGTGTCTCAGGGGGTCAAACTATGAAATATTCCAAATGTCTTTTAGAAGATCGAAGCACTTACCCAGTAAATTATCTTGGGATATTTCCCAAAGAGTTGCTGAAAGAGTAGACTGAGTATAAAACTCTTGAAAATGTATGACGGCTCATGGGATGTCTTAATATGTCTGACAAACTAAAGGTGCATTGCTTTGGAATTTAATTTCCAGTGTTGCTTCATTCCTTACTGCATTGGAACAACTGATACTTCACTCCTTTAATAAAGAAAAAACAGAGATTGGACTCCAAAATGTGGGAAATGTGGTTTAATGTATGTCCATGGATTTACCACTCACTCCTGAGAGATATTAAAGATTCAGAGGGGTTCACTTATTTCACTCTTTGAAATAATTGTTGATAAGTGATACCAACAACAATTTATAAAAACTTCTTACACTTGCCATAGAAAGATTTATACATGGTGTGTGTGTGTGAGAGACAGACAGACAGAGACAAGGGAACAGAAAAAAAGAATTTGAGAGATTTAAAGAAGGGATTCCTTTGAGCTAAATAAACACATCTTTACTTCTCCATCACTTCTTTATTCTCCAAATGAATACATTACTGGGGAAGCTGAGTTAAGAATCAGAGCAGGGGCCAGCCTGGTGGCTAAGTGGTTAAGTTTGCACGTACTGCTTTAGCGGCCTAGGGTTATTGCCTGTTAGGATCCTGGGCACGGACCTAGAACTGCTCATCAAGCCATGCTGAGGTGGTGTCCCACATAGCACAACCAGAGGGACCTACAACTATAATATACAACTATGTACTGGGGGGCTTTGGGGAGAAGAAGAAGGAAAAAAAGACAATTGGCAACAGATGTTAGCTCAAGTGCCAATCTTTAAAAAAAGGAATCAGAGAATATCTCATTGGAAAAAATATATAAACATTTATTGACACACAACTTGTGCCAAGCATGCTTTAAAATACGTTTGTTCATTTAACACTTAAAACAAACCTGTGAGATACATATTGCTTCCCAAATAAGGACAATGAGACAGAGAAATATCAAGTAACTTGTCAAAGGTCACAAGATATTCATTCCATGATTGTACAAAGTAAGTCTATCTGGCACCAAAGCTTAAGATTTTGTGTTGTTTTGTTTTCCCACTGCTCCATCCTGTTCTCCAAAATTATTAATGATAGGCATAAAGTCAAATACTTTGAAAAAGAAAAAGCAGTACACAAAGGCCTCCCTTGTAAGTTCCTAGGATACTTTTTCTTTCTATAGCATCTAATAAATCTGAACAGATTGTTTTAAATCTATTTTAAAATGTCAACAGTATGGAGAATAGCCCCAAAAGAAAAGCCTAAAAGACACTTTTGGAACAAAGGTAATGGAATCCCCACTTTCAAATTAAGCCATAAGGACAGAAAATACAATTCTAGTTATCACCTAAGCACCCGATCATTACTGACTATAAGAATAGTATTTTTAAAGTTTATATTGTTTTACAATTACTAAGAAGCATTCTGCATAAAAGAAGCCAAATGATCATTTAAAATCTTCCATTTGATTTATGAAATCCCTTATTTTGTCCTCTACTTCCTAAGTTCCGAGACATTCAAATTTGTTAGTTGTATGAGGCTGAGTAATGAAAATAATCCCTTGAAATACATAATGCAACATGTGATTTCATTCCAAATTTAAAGAAATTGTGGAACCCAATGACAACCTGATATTACGGGAAACTAAAACAAGAAAATATGGTTGTGGATCTCACAGTACCATTTTACATTGTTTTTGTTTTATGAATATATATATACATATTCATATATGAACATATATATTGTGTGTATATATATATATATACACACACTAAAACATTATTGAAAATCAAGTACCACCTGGTTGCACTGAAATAGTAATTTATTAATGCATGTAAAAGTAATTCAGTTTTCAAAAGCCACCTGGTAGATGGGTTTGGCTGGTGTGTTTTATCAGCAGCACAAGTAGGTATACACTGTTAAATTTGTTAAAGACTACACTTGGAAGGATACATGCAAACAAATGTAGCTCTACATCCACGAGCCCTGCTTCTGGCTCCATTGAGAAATTACAGAAAAATATGTTTGTTAATTTCTGTATCTAAATCTAAAATATTACCAAGGTTTGTACAAATCTTACTACCTGAGCTTCATTCCAAGATCTAGAAGTGAAATAAGTTCAGAATTCATTGATTTATTCATTTGGCCTCATTTTTATATTTCCTTTTTCAGCTGAATGGATGGATGAAGAAACAAGGATGATTTGCCATGAAAGCAAAATTTCTTTGAAGTTTCTTGTGTTCTAATGGCTAAAATTAGTAATTTCAGATCTAGGGAATGAAACAGATTCAAAAGGAGAGCTCATGATCCATAAAATTCCAAACAGCTTTGAGAAAGTGTTTACATAGGAATGCTTTTATCATATTTTATTTCTGTATTATGGCAAACACACTATGACTCCTGGCCCAAATAATTCATCTTATGAAGCTAGGTAACTGGCCTTCAGCAAATAAATACCACTAATTTAACTGACATTGAGATTCTATATTGCCCTTCCCTTATGGGAAATGTTAAAAACAAACTACTTGGGTGTTAATATCTAATAGTCAATAGCGATTTTTTTTTCACCACGTCTATAATTACCCCTCAGTTGTTTCAAAAAAGCAAAAGACATGCTTCTTTTCCTTTTATGCTTATCAGGGGCTGATTATTTTTATGGTAAAGTATAATCTTTCCAGTGTTCAAGACGTTGTCACTCTACCAAAAGAAGAGCAAGTAGAATTAGTGATCAAGAAAAGTGAAAGAAACCATTGAAAGAAATCATCTTGTGGACTACCTTCCAAAGCAAATGCAAAGTACAAGAGGCATGCTTTCATGTTTATGTCAGCAGCTAATCATAACCAAATTCTAACATGATTAGTAGGTTTTCACTATTAACAAACTAGTTATTTTGTGAAAACTTGAACAATAATTTTTAGGTGGATGTAATCTCACACTGTTCAATTACTAAGCTACAAATCAATACATAGAGATAGATTATTTTAATTTTAAAAGTTATTTGAAGGAGCAACAAGAGTTGAATCACGTTACTTTCAATATCTCCTCCTGTTCCATTTATAACCCCAGGGGAGAGTCAGAATGGAGGAAGGAGAAATTAGGACTTGATTGGAAGATGCAAGACCTGGGTTCCAGTGTCGTTTCTTCAACTAATTCAATGTATGACTTACTAAGCCATGTAACTTTGATTAGCCTCAATGTTCCTCACCTATAAAAGGTGGACTAGATTACTTCTAAGTTGCCTACAATCACTGAAGTTTTATCCTTTTATGAGTTTGTTGCACACGACTGTAGTGGAGTCTTATATTTTATTAGTAATAATTGTGCCATGGTATGTGCCAAGGAAAGATATAGAGAGGAATAGAGAGGAGACACACATTTTAAAATTCTGGAGCCCTAGAGGGGGAAATATCTTTATAAACACCACCTCCACCAGTTAGCTGAAAAATTACAGACAAGTTTGTGGGATCTAGGACAGAAAAGATGCTTTGCAAAATAACTAGTTTAATTTTAAGATCTTTCCCATGTCATCTTACCTCTGATTTTTCCTGTTCTTTTTTGCATTTCTCTCATGCCACTCAGAGCCAGTAGAAGAATTAGTTTCTTAAAGTGAGATTAGCAAGGAGACCCAGTAGATTTATAAAATAATGCTGAAGTAGGTGTTTACAAACTAATCTAAGTGCTTGGAAAGAAAAAGTGGTTTTTAAATGAGCATATAACAAGGGACTCTGACCTAAATGGGGTTGGTGTAGGAGTTAAAACCAAAAGAAAAGGTTGAGGATATTAGAAGAAACAGAAAGTGCAAAGCGCAGAAAAGGCTAAAGCACACGGGAGAAGTCATAAGAAGATGAGTAACTCTCTGTAAACAATTGGCATGTACTTTACAGACCAATTTTTAAGGTTCTGTACTTTCTTGTTTGTTCTCATTAGATTCCCTGAACCTTTAAGTCCTTAAATTTTGCCTGGGTGATAGTAGGAACCAGCAGGTTAGGGAAGAGTTCTGTGTCACCTAAATATGTACATATCGGCCATTTGAGGGCAGAGAGTGAGAAGAAAAGAAAACAACAAAAGGAACAGAAGGAGGAGCAGCCTGGTAGTGGTTTGTGGAAGACGGGTCAATAGTTGAACAGAAATAATCAAATCAAACCAAACTGTGTATGGTGTACATGCTGATGGAATTTGAGAAATATTTACAGGCCCAAAATAATGGGAATCTGCTCCTTCCTCCCTATCTTGATTTTCTATAACACTTTTCTCAAGTTCACCTATTACAAAGGGACGACTCCTTTCTTGCCTCCTGCATCCCCCACTTGGAAGATTTTAATATCATTCCTTGCATAAGGAAAAAAAGTACTTTGTTCATGGTAACAGTGACTTTTATATATCATCCCTTTATTAGTTATGTAATAAAGGAAAACTTACTTTGAAGCCAGTGCTGCTAATGAAACAATGTAACTGGTGTGAATTACATATTAAGCACAGTGATATAAATCAAGCTGTACATCAAAACTGAGCACTCAACTCTGATTTACTAATTTGAAGTGTGAAAGAAATATAAACCAAAGATTTTGCTCTGGAAAAAAAAAACTATGAGAGATGTATGCAGATGATATGCTATTTCACAGCGATCTACATTATCCTGGAAGTTTATAAAGGAAGCCGAAACACCTATGAATCCTCTTGCCACTTAGAAGCCCCTGGCGGTAGACCTCCAGGAGATATATAGAGTCAGTGCTGGCACAGAAAATGTTTTACAACAGAGTTAAAGTCAAAACTTTAAGACCAATTACAGTAATTAAACTATGCCTCATTTCCCTTTCATATTTGGCTTCCTACCAAAATGTATAATCTTCTATTTATCTATCCTCTCATTCAAATAACCTGTTATGATAGGGTTGGTGCTACTTCCTTTGAACTCTTTCTGATGTGACCTCTGGGTTTCCATTTCACTTTAAGCAAACTCCCCTCTACCTTCTTATCCCTTCACAAATTTCGGTATCTCCTTGCCTTAGCTGAAAACTAGGTCTCCCTGAGAATCCCACTTCCTTCCGCACCAGATACTGGGTACTGGACTGTGAATACAGAGGGGGAGTCAGGGCCAGTAATGAGTGTCTGCTGTTTGAGTGGCTTTCAACATAATCTCAAACCCAATACATAAGCATTATCCATTGTTATTCAGATCTCACTCATCTCTTAGTATGAATAATTGCATTTTGTTTTCTTTATCGGATTAAGCTGTAAATAACTTCTGTATGTTATTACATATTTTATTATATGTTTATAAGAAATAA